GAGAAATTGAGAGCTACAATAAATTATTTTTAGGATATCAAAGTCTTTGCTTCAGTTTCCCAAAAGGAACTAACGTGGCAGCTGTCTTTGTACAAAATGCTTTTTGACTAAAAATAATGTAAATGTTTGGACCTCTGTGTCATCCTTAAGTGAAAGTTGATACTGTGGACTCTTCTTTGTGTCAGTTGGTATCTATCGCACACCAGATTCTTGAATTTTCTACTTGCATTTTGGCCTGACTGCTGCTAACCATGGTGATCTGCAACACTGTCTCTGCCTGCTTTACATTTTTTTGTATCTGACATGCAACTTGCCTCCCGGAGGAGGTCTTTTAATCTCATCTTTCTTCACCCTCAAGCTGTGTAGACTTTTCTCCAGCCAGTGCACAAAGAATCTACTGAGCTGCTCCTTCCCCCAGCATCAATAGGATTTTCCAACATAAATCGCTCATCTGTCAGTGGATTAACATGTTTAAAATGCAGCTCACTGAGTGGATTAAAGAGCTCAGGCGTGGGTAATAAGATATAGTACCTTTCACTGCAGTAATGCCAGTTCAGATCAATCCAGGATGTTAGTGACTGGGAGTTACCGTTTGAACTGCGTCAGCTGAGTATGGTTACAAACTTGTGTCATGAATTTCCCTCTGGGCAGGGTGAAGATCTAGTGAGTGGAATGAGCTGTACAAGCAGTGCCTTCCCATTCCAGGGAATAGAAAGATACACATCCAGATTTAACTTGGACAGATTTTAAGACATTTGTTAGAAATAAACTGCCATACAGTGGAATTTCTTGTTTTGTCCTTTTAAAGAAAAGGAATTATACTGGGAGGGGGGGTGAGGGGGCAGAAATCCCAGTATCATCTTTATTAGTCATAATTTTCTTCAAATGTGAATAATGTTTGCAATAATATTTATAACTTTGTTCAATTCTGCACCTCAGATGACATGGCCCAGGGCGCTGATTGGTGTCCTCTGGCTATCTTCTTGGGACAGTTGTGGCTACATCTGCCTCTCCCCTCTGCTGGAGGTTGCTGTGTATGGAAGGGGATGGGGCTGGTCTGCACATATGTGTGGATTTTGTTTAGTTTTTAAAACTTCTCGGTTTTTTTTCTTTTTTTTTTGAAGGGACAGTTCCCTTTTGTCTTTAAGCATTTAAAAGCCTTTTTTCGCATATACCTGTCAAGAGTACTCAGCACAACCAACATTTTTTTCTTTTAATGTATATAGCTCCTGTTATAGCACTAATGTGTTTGGACCCTCTTGAGAAGGGAGCCACTTGGAAAAATGAGTCACAGTTTATTTCCAAACCTTCAAGTGATGGGTATGTGATTTTTTTTTTTTTTCCCCTCGGAATTTTTGAAACCATTTGTCAGAGAAGATAAGCTTCAGCCTCTGTTAGAAAGAAGCAGTCACGTGGCAAAGCAGTTTAGCAGTTCAAGTAAGAGCCAGAGGAACTACGACCCATATGAAAGGTCAGGTATGCTGTTCTCTGCCTCTTTTTTTGTAGTTCAGTCATTCTTTTACTTCTTCCTGGAAGTAGTTGGTATGCAGAGTTTGGTGATGTGTACTGTCCTAAAACAGAGTTCTGCATTTCGAAAATACATGTGAAGTAGAGCAGTTAGTGATTATGTATTAGGTTGTTTTTAAGGTGATTCAGATGTTTTTCCGCAAGGCTATTACCAAGGTTGTAATTGTTCTTATCTCATTTTGTCTGTCTGTCAGCAAAACATTACTAAGCAAAATTTATAGCAGAAACAAGAACTTACTTATAATCTAGTATAGTGAGATGGAGACTATACAGCTTCATGATAGTTTTGAGCAAAAGAGAATCTCAGTCTCTTTCCTGTCCTAGTAATTAACTCTCCTGCTTCAGCTGAAATCCTGTTTCACGCGATAGTTTTCACATCTGTGTATGTTATTGTAACAAAAATAATACTTAAGATTTTCAGACAAAAGATGATGAGTAAATTATCATCATTACCAGATTTCTTGGCTGCCTAATACTAGGTTCAGGGACGTTAGTACTCATGTGAATGGAAATGGACTTCAGTGCAGCAGTACTGAATACGCACATGAACAGCTGGCGTAACAGGAGGTAATTGCATGTCTAAGTGTTTGCATGGGTCCGTGGATTTTGTAGCTGGCCTCACAGTAGCTATGTGAATGTTGGCTTTTTTGTTCTATGAACTTCCAAAATTTCCACACCCACATGTAGGTTTAGTTCTTTCATTTCTATTATCAAAATGGACTTGGGGAAATAAGGATTTTGGTGTACAGGGATGGATATTTTAAAAAGGATCCTTGAACATGTGGAGAACGCAGGAGGAGAAACACAGTGTATGCAGAGCAGCCCTAACAGCTCTTGGGAGGGTTTAATGAGTGAGGGGCCAAAGGTCCTGTGTGCCCCAGGCAGCACAGCAACCAAATCCAGACTAACACTGTCAAGTGCAGGATTCAAGGTGTAATGACTGTGAGAGCAAAGAGGGTCTCTTCTAGGGCTGGAACTGTCTGGGACAGTGTTCTTCATGTGTTCTTGCCTATGGTTACCACCAGTTGCTAGTGTTCAGGTGTGAAACTGTATGAAAGTTGAATGACCCTTGCTGGAAAGTAAGTGCAAGTTTTCCACCCAGCATGTCTGAATGTGAGTGCTCTGAATTAAAATGAAACATTTGCCTTTTTGAGGGTTGAAAGCCAGTGCCTTAGGTGTGTGTCAAGAAAGTAAAGGCTCTGTGAGCACGTCTCAGAATCAAGGTTTAAAGAAATAATCTGGTAAAAGTAGCAGTTACGTCTTACTCAAAAGCCACCAGTAGCTCTCCTTTTCCAGAATGGAGGTTGCTTATTTAAATGGCCTGTAAACTCGCCAGCTTTATCTTTCTTTTCATCCTCTTTTCTTCTGCTGTTCATTATTGTGTCCCCATTGTAAGCCCAAATACCTCTGTCCCAGAGAGGATCCCTTGATAATATAACAGTTGCATTATGTCAGATTTGTTGTGTTGGGTCAGGTCATTTACTTGGTATTGCTCATGAAGCTGGCAAAATTAGTGTGAATTTGTTCTGTTATGCCTTTTGCTATTTTATGTTATGCAGGTGAAGGTCAGGCAAAGTGAAAGGAATGGTAGTTTTGGGTGTCTCTTATTACTTCTGCCTTGTCAGAGGTTGTCATTGACTCTGCTCCTCTCCAGAAAATACAACAGAGAGAAATTAAAATGGATAATGTTTTTCCTGCCATTGTGGTTGTTATGTGCCTTCTTTTTTCTGCTGCATTCTGTTTTGTTCTTCCTTCATCTCCATGAAGGAAAGCCTTCACAAAGCTCCAGAAATGCGTGATGCTTACGTGCTGCATGGGCTGTGCCAGCACTGGGTCTACCCTTTATTTAGTCATGTGTCCCTGAATTCTGAGGCTGAGGAGCCACTGCCATAAAATACTGAAGGTCAACATTCCATTGACAGTGGCTTTGCCACAGATTATTTAGTTCAGTTCTGCAATGCTGCAGGTTGGGTATGGCTCCTGGCCTGTTTTGCCTTCCTGTTTGTGTGGCAAAGTAAAATGATTCAACGGGATGCAGTCAGTAGTTGTCTTGGGGCATGGAGTTGCCAAGTATTAAAAAGGGTAGACTAGTTAATAAAGAATGAGGGCCAGACTGATAATGATATGAAAGTGTGAAAAGATGGAGAAAATGAAACTGTTATTTTGCATGTACGTGTATCCTTAGGCAGCTAAGTGCCTGTACAGATTTATTCCCATTTCACTGAATTTGTTGTTAGTGCTAGTCAGCGGAGGTCAAAGTCTTCCTCACCCGAGTTAACAGTAGGACTTTTTTGTAGCATTCTGTACTTCTGCTGAGAAGGCAGTGACAGAAAGCTTCTAGTGATGTGCTGGTGTGTTGCACATGTTTGGACTGTCAAAATAATGGTTCATCATCTTGATAATTAATAGGGTGCAGTTGGTCTGAGGTAGGTATTTTTATCTTCAAGTGCTTTTAAGAAAGGAAGACATGAAAGCACCTGCTAATGAACAGTTATTTCAGAGTTGTTCTTATTCAAAATTACGTTGTTATTTTGCCATACAGTCAATGGTAATGGGGTTGTATATTATTCATCAGCAAGATAGCTACACATCTTCCAGCAGTATGCTGTTAATGTGCCAAGCAAATGGCATGGTTGGTTTGTTCTTTGTCTCATTGTCTCAAGAGAGGATGTTGTGTTTTGTGGTACAGCGTTTTGTTCTGGTGGGTGTAGAAATGGGTGTGCACCCTGCACTCATTGGTGCTGGTAGAGGCGAGAGCGGAGTGCGTTTTGCCCTTGGAGTGAAAAGTGGTGAGGTCTGTGGGAGGTGTTGTTCCAGGGGGGATTCTTGTCACAGGCTTGCAGCTGTCTCCGTAAAGCTGTACCGGCTGCACATCGCAGCTTGCCCTTCACCGCAGGCAGCTGCGCCGCACTGGGAACAGAGCTGTGGACTTCAGGTGACCTTCTAAGCAGCTTGGATTGAGGCAGTTGGAAGAGATAATGACCTCAGAGAGAGAGAGCACACTTGCATTGGTGTGCTTGGGGCCTGTACTTAGCATTGTGAAGTTTTTTGTGAAACACTTCCTGTGCCAACTCTGCTAGAGTCATACCCAGGATTCTTCATGTTTGATACCTGTAGGTCAATGCTTTCGCTTTAAAAGTCATCTTCGTAAATATTTTGGCAGTTTGTAATTCTTTGTTTTATTGTTTCTTTATTGAACACCTTAATCAAAAATGTTTTCCAAATCAAGACTCCTGTTTTTTATTTTTCTTGTTCACTTTGAGTTTGGTGTTGGTTTTCTGTGGGGGGGAGTGTTTGGTTGGTTGGTTTGTTTTTATTTTTTTTAATCCTTTCCCTCGTTTTCTAACTTCCCCTACACCCAAAGACTGACAGTGGCTCTCTCACACTGCCCGGTTCTCAGTTCCACCCTGATTAACTTTGAATCCAGTTGGGAAAACATATTTTATTCTTCTTCCATTCCTATTCTGTTGCAGATTTTGACTTGAACTATTTTTGGCATTGGAGCAAGTTTACAGACTACGTGCAGTGTGTCCTGACCTTCACTGGTGTGACCGGTTACATCACTTACCTCTTGCTTGACTCATCTCTCTTTGTGGAAACGCTGGGCTTCCTTGCAGTGTTCGCAGAGGCTATGTTAGGCATTCCACAGCTCTACCGTAACTACCAGAATAGGTCTACAGAAGGAATGAGGTATGGTGTTTGTTTTACATAAAAGAAGTAAGTGTGTGCATGTGTGTGTAGTGTGGGAATACTTTTCTAGGTGGTGGGATGTCATCTTTCTAAATTCTGCTTGAAAATACAATGGCTGTTGGAGTAGATTCTCTGTCAGTCAGAGCTGGTGCAGCACTGCTGAAGGCACTGGGAGCTCCATTACACCGCTGAGGTCTGACCCATTGCCCAAGTCCAGCTGGACAGTTCCAAGCTGAAATATGATTTAGTAAAATAAACACATAAAACTACTGCTGTTGCCATTAGCAACATATTGCAGTTCAACTCAAGCTGTGCTACACTGGTAATTTGAAATGCACTGAAGAGATCTGGCATATTGAAAGTAATAAAGAGGAAGAAAATATTTTGAGCCTGCAGTGAATAACTCTGTCGGTCTAACTCACAGATTAGCTCATCACTTTTTCTCACGTATCTACTCATTACTTTTTTGTAATACATTATTATGTATGTAGCAAATGACATCAATATTTATGTGTAGAAGCTTGTAACTGACATTTAAAAGTTCAAATTAGATGTTTACAGTCATGAATGGGAAATCATTCGTAAACAAGTATGGGACAGAAAACTTTAATCTTGTGCCCACTGTTGGAGCATTAAACTAGATTGTCTTTTCATACTGGTTTACTGGATATCTCAACCATAACACTAAGATTTCCAAATTGCAAAGGCAACTTGCAAAGCTTTTGAAGAGACAAAACGTTACTGTGGTGCATAAGTGCAGTGGTCTGAAGAAACAGTACAGCAGCACATTCAGTTCATGGAGTGCTGTGGTCATCTGTGACTAACTGTCTTCTCTTTCATTGCTTTTAAACTTGCTGAGATAATTTTTACTTTGGTCAAAACAAATAACGACTCCCCACCACCTCCAAACCAAAGCAATTCTGTCCTTTGGCTGTTGGCATTGTTCCCTTTACTTGTTTGGCTTGGTGACACTTCTACTAGCTACTTTAAGTTCTTTTCAAGCTTGAAATGTTGAGAGAAAGTTCAGAAATTTGCTTTGATACTTAAGGCATTTTTTCATTAGGAGCCCCTTCGGTACAGAGTGAGTCAGGATTTACTTCCAAAGTACTGGGGTATTTTTCATGCACACACTGCCTTGGAAAATTCTGTACCTGTGATATCCAGAAGGCAATTCACCTACTAGACCTTCTTTATGTTGTGGTTTGACTTTTCCCTGTATGTTTTTTATCTGTGAATCGTAATGCCATAATGCCACATTATGATAGCCACTGCCAGATAGTGTTTTGCTTTTCCTTAGCTCCTCTCTGGGGACCTGAGGTTCAGTTTTCCAATTTCCTGTATATGCTATGTAGCAAAAGGAGAAAAAAAAACTTTGTGCTTCACAGGAACACTTCCTTTGTAAAGCATTAAGCACAGAATTGCAGAATTCTCGTCTTAAACTGCTTGGCAAGAGTGTGCTGTGTTTAGTCAAGAGAAAATAGCATAAAAGCTCTTGTTCCCTTGCCATCAAACAGAACCAGGTCCAGTGATAGCCGCCTTCCTTATCGGCTGTGCCCACAGGTTTTCCAGAATGCACTCCCCTCTCTGTTTCTGCTCTCAAGCAGTACTTTGTGTGGCAGTGGACATCGATGGGACTGGGGACTGATGAGACAATATACAGCTTATGCTGCTTTACTGCAGTTGCAGTATGTTCATGCAAATCCACATGCTAGTACTCTTTCTTTTTTCAGGTTGTATTGCAGTTTTATATACATTGCAGGTACCACATACACTTTCTAGTGCCATGCAATCCTGAGTTGATTTGATGATCTCTAAGCATTACGGGGCTGTTCCTGCTGTGAGAGTGACTTCTGTTGGTGTATAACCTTCTGTTGAAGGAGCTATGGGAAATACTTCCTCTGAACGTCGCTTCCTGTGCCTGGTTCTCTGTCTAAAAGCACCTCAGAGAAGAGATTCCAGTCCTGGAAGCACTGAAGGGAGCATGTAATAGTCCAGCCAATGCTGCTCATAGGATTGAGTTTATGAACTTGCATGGGTATCTACCAGATGGGTGCTAGCTGATGCCCACTGCTCTGTGCAGTTATTTACTGCTCAGTGCAGAAATAACACGCGTGTGGATGGTTACACTGTCAGAACCAATAGCAGTGGTGATCCTCTGCCCATCTGCTGGGCCATAATGGCTGGCTGCCAGACATGCTCTTAGCAAGCTTCAGTGGTAAAGTAGAATAGATGAGTTTCAAGTGTCTTTCTGGCTTTAAGCTTAATGGGGAGAGCAATGAGAATTAAGCTGTTCTATTTAGTGACCTTTTGGACAGTTATCACATCCTGGTTGGAAGCGGTAACTTCTTAAACTACGGCAGTTCTGTCACCTGTGGTGCATGCGTGGCGCCCGTGTCCCTGATAAACATCACAGCCTTTACTACTGCCAGAGAGGGCGTTGTGTGGAGATCCTTGTGGCTTGGTTGAGGAAAGCAGCAGCATGCATCTGTCTCTGAATTGGGGCAGAATGGGACACAGCAGCTGATATGTGAAGTCTATTTCTACTTCAGCAAATAATTCCTTTCCTAAATGTAAACTGGCAAAATAGAAATGGAGAAGAAGGTCACAGTACGTGGCCACATCTGATCAGGGTATCATGCCAGACTCCTCAAACACTGTGTTTTTTCTGAACAAAAAGGTGGCAAACAAATAACCCTACAGCCCCCGCCCCCATCACCCCTTTGTGTTTAAACAAAGAGTTGAGGGTATCTCAGGTTTGAGGTAGCAGTCACTTCCTGATAAACAAACTCAGGAGCCAGAGGGACGGGTGGATCTGGTGGCTGACAGGATACCCTTTGGGGCTCTGTTGTGAAAGCGATCTCATCACCTCGCCTCTGTGTTTCAATCTGCTGCTGCCTGAAAAGTCCCCTACGGAAAATGTGCTCCCTTTCCGAGGTAAACATCCAGAGAACATCTGTAGGTGAGTCAGTTATGTTTATTGTAACAGGGCATGGCTGGAGTGAAAGAATCAGTTATGTGCATTGTAGTACTCCTCAGAATGAGTCTTCCAGTTCTTTGGTGTCTCTGTTCTGCTGGATAAAGCTCTTCACTTCTTATTTTTATTTATGTCTTGATTTCTCCCTACTTCTCTCATTTTTCTGCTTTTTGTAGCAATATCACTACTAGGTCCTGTAGTTTCCCCCTGTGTTCTCTGAGAGAGCAGAGACCAAAGAAGTTGGAAAGAGATGGAAACAATAAAAGCAGAAAGGAGATGCATGCTGACTTACAGCTTTTGCTGACAGAAGATAGCGTAGTATGTCCTGGTGGGCTGATGGTTGAAGGGTGGAAGTTTTCCCATGATTAAGTAAACAGAACTAAGCCAGTTAAAGGAACAGAAATTTTCGTGATGTTCTCTTTGACAATTCATCTAGTTACTTTTGGAAGTAGTAATTTATAGAAACGTAGAGCTCTGTTCAAATGTTTAAGTACTTTTGAATAGTTACAGACCTAAATAGTACAGTCATAGTTCTACTAATTATGGTACTGACCTTGACAGAAGTGCTTTTTTAATGAACTGTGGTACAAGTTAATACCTACCAAGGAAATAATCACTTAATATCTCCATTCAGTTCAAGAACTAAACTAGTTCTGTCCTGTCACCTAGTAAAAGTGTAGTTTAATGACATTAATTGTTACTGGGATGGATTAGAATCATGAGTACAATTGTGTTTGCATCGGTTAGAAAAAGGAGGAAAGCAACCTCGAAACTAAAGAGCTTTGGAATACAGGAGGCATCCTGTTATATGAGAAGAAAGCATTATGAGGTTAAAAGATTGCTCATAATTTGTAAATTTTTTTTATATTATGTGATAAAATATTTCAGGATCTTGATATCAAAACCAGCCCTTTTCCCCATCTTCCATGAGGCAGAGGTGCTGACTCTGTAGCTGGGATCTCATGCTGCTCAGATTACTGCTTTTACTTTGTGACAAAAACCATACAAACAAGAACTTCCTCTGTCATTTATCTTTGCGTCCCCACTCTTTCTAAGATACTTGCCTCCTAGTCGCTTTCCCCTTCTAATAAACTGCAGTCGTGACAAACGTTGGTGTTCCATGTGGATGGATGTGGCACTTCGGGACATGGTTTAGCAGGCATGGTGGTGTTGGGTAGACAGTTGGACTTGATGATCTGAGAGGTCTTTTCCAACCTAAGATTCTATGATTCTGTGTGAGGTGGAGATAGAGGGGAGGTTGGCTCGGGACCTGGCAGCAGCGCTGCTGCACGCAGAAGCGGGGAGCTGCTGGTCAGTTCATTAAGAGAATTGTGTCCTTGTGGGGACAACAGCTTTTGTGAATCACCTGCAGGGGGGAAGCATGTGCTTTTCACAGGGGTGGGGAGAACCTCATTTCTGTGGGAGGCACAGGCTCCTGAAGGTACTGGTGTTATGCACCCTTCACAATCCCATCTGAGTGACCTCCACCAAAGGAGGACAGTGGAGGGTGTTCCTCTGTATGCCTGTGACAAAGCTGTCCCACACAAGGGTGTGTTAACCCTGGGGCTGCTCAAGGGTGGATTTGCTCCAGGGCAGTATTGCATTCCTGTCTGCTGCCCTGCCCTGCTCTCCTTTGGGAAAAATAACTGCCCTTCATTGAAAGTTCTTCACAAAAGCTCATCAAAATCACCTGGCAGTGACCCTTTTTGACTGTCAGCTGCTGCTCCACCCCTGTGGAGCAGCGGTTTCTTTTCAGTCACTGCTTGGGAGTTTAGAGGCACTGGATGGCAGAACCTCCCCAGGTCCAAGAAAGAGGTCTGGCAGCAGGACTGAGCTGGGCTGCCAGTCTTGAAGTCTCAGAAACCACACTCCAGGTGATACTGAGATGTGCCCATCAATGGGTAGCTTGGCAGCATGTGGGTCCTAAGAGCAAGGTCCTCCTGCAGGGGTTGCTGAGCTTCTGGTGCACCCGCTTGTCCCCTCCCCGGTGCAGGCTGGGTGCCAGGCAGCACGTGCTGTGCCTGGC